CCTGAAATGTCTGACATTTTTAAATGAACAGGTATGGAGAGGTCGTGAACATCAATCTCGTGAGGGACAAGAAGACTGGGAAATCCAAAGGATTCTGTTTCCTGTGCTATGAAGACCAGAGGAGCACAATCCTGGCTGTGGATAATTTCAATGGGATCAAAGTGCGTGGGTGTGCTTCTGCAGCAGGCGTGACCGCTCCTTTCCTATGCAGAGGGCTACCGTTCATTCTCCATTTGGTCAAACCTAGTCCTGGTCAGCCAAGCAGAGGTGTGGGGGCACACTGGCTAGGAAATGATCCCGGAATCCCAGGGCTCCCGCCAGGACTTGTTTCTTTCCCCTATCTTTGACCTGTTAGCAAACCTCTCCCCCTACCCTACCCCACTTCCACCCCTTACCTTCTTCTCTGATGTATCAGAGACTGAACGAAGGAGCGAGCGAACTCAGCCCTGCCATGCTGGCCAGTGTCAAGCAATTGCCAAAAGTGACTCATTCTTCATTATCTCTCCTCTGGTCACTCTCAAAGGAGCCCTGGAGTAGCTGTGGGCTAGGCATTGGGCTGCACACCGCAAGATCGGTGTTTCAAACCCACCAGCTGCTCCTCAGGAGAAAGATGTGGTACTTTCTGATCCCATAAAGAGTTGTAATCTTAGAAACCCTCGGGAGCAGTTCTACTTTGTCCTACAGGATCTCTATGAGGCAGAGGGGATTTGGCGACTGTGGCTTGAGTGTGGGTTATGTTGGTTCCTCCCCGCCCCCCCCACCCCCCGTGCCTCACTTGTGAGAGGGACTGAGACAAGGCAGGCTTACTGATCCTATGCACAGGCCCTGCACTCATTCAGTAGGGACACTGCAAACGCAGTGAGTATTGTCAAAATATGGGGGTGACGCTCGTCACTGATTGGACCAGAAGGGAACAGCCAGTGACTGTAGGACAGGGTAGGGCACGTGTAGTGCTTGGATTTCTAGGGAGCCTGCGGGTCTCCTTTGTGGCATGTTGCTGTCAAAGGAAGGCTTTCACAATGGCTTTGAAACAGCGATGGCAGTAGGTGACAAAAACTACTCAGGCTTATAGGTGAGCCTCTCTCGGTAACATTGGCTAGAAGCCCACCACTTCAGACTCCCACGGCTTTGTTTCGAAACTCAGTCTGCCTGAAAACAGCACAGTGTTTTAAAGGGAGAGGTTAATCTTGCTGTTGCTCACCTGATGGGCTGTGGCTCCCAGCAGACCTGTCTGTCAGTCTGCTGAGGGTAGAGTGAGGCGTGAGGGTGCCATGGAAAAGGCAGTGATCTCTTCTAGCTGCCTCCCCGCACCCCTTTTGGGTCCGCTGTTGCAGACAGCATGGAGGACAGCGAGCTGGACTTGGGGGCAGTGTGTGAGGCTGCTGGTGGACGGCCTCAGGGGCATCAGCTATCCCTGGCTCTACCTGGCTACCCGAGGGCTGAGTGTATCAATAGGTAGGTGTCCAGCGATGAAGGATCCATGGTGGTGCAGTGGTTAAGCGTGTGACAGCTAACCAAAGGGTTGGCAGTTCGAACCCGCCAGCTGCTTCACTGGACAACTTTGGACCCCCTACAGGACAGCTCTCCTGTGTTTGAATGGATTCGGTGCCAGTGGGTTGGGCTGTGCAGTGAGGGTTCAGTGGTTGAAGTCTGATCTTCCATGCAGGAAACCCAGGTTTGATTCCTGGTCAGTACACTACATGTGCAGCCAACCACCTGCCTGTCAGCTGAGGCCTGGTTGTGACTATGATGCTGAACAGGTTTTAGTGAAACTGCCAGACTGAGATGGATGCGGAAGAAAGGCCCTAGAACTCTGCTTCCCAAAACCAGCC